CTTTTCTCTCTTTCCAGATCTTTTGCAATAATGGAGTCAGCATATCTGCCGTCGTTTCTGGGTCCGCTTTCAGTGCTTCCGGGGGTATTCCATCTGGTCCAGCTGCTTTTCCAGCTTTCAGAAGCTTGATTGCATTCATGACTTCAGTTTTCGTTGGAGGATTGGTGTCAACTTGCAGTTGTGTACGTGCTGTTGTTGGTATTACTGGACGGGTTGTAGGTGGTGGTCGGTTCAAGAGTCCTTTGAAGTGGTCCGCCCATTGTTTAATCTGTCTTTCTTCTTTGGTAATTGGGTTCCCTTGGTTGTCTTTTATAGGTTTCACTTGTGTTGATCTCTTCCCGGATAGAGACTTGGTTATCTGATATAGTGTCCTCAGGTCCCTTTTGCCTGCTGCCTTCTCAGCTTCAGTAGCCAGGTTGTCGTAGAATTGTCTTTTGTCCTTCCTGGCACTCTTCTTCACTTCTTTGTCCAGTGCTGTGTAAGTTGAGTTCAGCGTCTCTTTCTCTTGTCCATCTTTGCATTGAATCATTTTCTCTTTCACCTTTCTCCTCTCCTCTATTAGTTTCCAAGTGTCTGTTGAGAGCCATTCCTTGTCTTTTCTCTTCTTTCTTCCTAAAACCGTTGAGCACGTTTCGTTGAAAATTACCTTCAGAGAGTTCCAATGGTCTTCCACGGATGATTCCTCAGTGGTGCCACGTAGTGTTTCCTGCTTTGCTCTGACAGTTGCAGTGAAAATGTCCTGTGTGATTGTGTCCTTCAGTTTTTGCGTGTTGAACTTGCATTGTGGCCTATCCCCAGCTATCCTCGAGGCTTTCAGCTTCACCTTGAAAGTCCCTTGTACTAGATAGTGGTCTGAACCCACATCTGCTCCTCTCCTCGATCTTGTGTCCAGTAGGCTCCGTCTCCACTTCCTTGAGATTGAAATGAAGTCTATCTGGTTTTTGGTGTGTCCATCTGGTGAAATCCATGTTGCCTTGTGTATATCCCTGTGTTTGAACACACTGCCACCAATCACCAAATCATTGAAGGCGCAGAAGTCTGAGAAGAGTTCACCATTTTCGTTCATTTCACCGAGGGCCTCACGACCCATGGTGAGTTCTCTTCCTGTATTGTCTCCTCCCAGTTTCGCATTCATGTCGCCCATCAGGATTTTGATATCGCCCTTTGGGACGTTGTCCATTACTGTTTGTAGTTGACTGTAGAAATCCTCCTTCTTCTCATGTTCTGAGGCGTTTGTAGGCGCGTAGCACTGAATGATTGTAACCTTCTTTCCTTTTGAGTTGAACCTGGCTGTCATTATCCTGGAGGAGATTGGTTCCCACTGCATGAGAGCTTTAGCCGCTGTTGGTGACATCATGATGGCTACTCCCTCGGTGTGCTCGTGATTGTCCTCTGGGTGACCGGAGTAGATTATTGTCTCTCCAGTTGATAGTTGGCTCCTTCCACATCCGTTCCATCTGCTCTCGCAGATTCCCAACACTTCTATTTTATATCTCCTCATTTCTGTGGCTACCTGAGCAGCCTTCCCAGCTTCGTACATTGTACGAACATTCCACGTCCCCATCCTTATTTTTGCTTTCATCGAAAGAAGGCACATCGGCTGACTGGCTTCCCGAAGGCTTTCACCAGCCCGCGTCATTTCACTTCCCCGATTCCAGCGAAAAATAAGGTTATTGTTAGTATTTTTAGAATTTTGAATATATTTGTGCGTTGAAGTTTTAGTAGCAATTTGGTTAAGTTTTAGGGGTGGAGTTGCTAGCACCACGCCCCAACCCTCCCTCTTTATCCGGGCTTGGGACCGGCTAGAATACTAGTGACCTAGTAATCTAGGCGAGGGTGGGAGTGAATAGTGAAGTAAAATTATAAAGTAGATAAAATACTTTATTTTAGTAGATTTGGAACCTTGATAGTGAGTTCAACTCAGAGAGTGAAAATCAAAATCAAGACTGGGTGGAATGTTATGCAACAGGACAAGCAACACAAAAGCACACGAACAAAACAGTTATGATGACCAGGTTAGTAAGGGATTAGTCACACTATCTTTCTGTATAAGAGGTTGGGTCGAAGTCTTTTGATAGCAATGACTTCTGCGAACCGAAGTGACCATACTTTTCTTTGGTGTATTGGTTATTTTGAAAACCTGCCTGACTAATTTCCGCTGTATGTTCAGTGTCAATTAGGTTTAGTTGATAAAAGGAGAGAAAAAGGATGACGAAGTCTGCCAACTGTGTACACCTGTCGTTCAGCAGCATGCGACTTATCCTTTAAAGTTATTTACAGGTTAAGTTAATTTAAATGTTTACTTGTTTCCACTGTCCTACAGCCAAAACTCTAGATATACATGGATTAAAGCCTTAATTATGTATTCAGAAAAAGTTTTTTTCAACCATGTTTTCCTCGATCTATCTTAACGCTTGAATTCATTTTACTTCACTTCCTCTTCGCCTTCTTTATTATTATCATCAACGCACTTTTAGAATTTTTGACTACACTTGACTGACTTTTTACAATCTTAATACCTATTCAACTATGTATTTTTATCTTTTAAACATTTTATAATTCATTCACTGTTAACTCTACCATACATAAAAATCATGTTGAATATTTTTATTCTAATCAACTTATGTGTATAGTTCACCTCTCTATCTCAACTTTATCGACTTTGAAAAGGCATTCGACAGCGTCGATCGAGAGGTGATTTGGCAACTACTTCACTACTACGGGGTGCCACCGACAATTATACATCTCATCCAACAGCTGTACCACAATGCTGCATGCCAAAGAAACTCAAGGAATCTTTAGAAGTGAGGACAGGAGAAGGATAAGGCTGCCTACTATCGCCAATGATTTTCCTGATTGCAGTAGACTGGATAATGCGACAAACAGCTGGCAATGAGGAAACAGGCATAAAATGGACTCACACAAAAAACTTGGAGGATCTGGACTTCGCCGATGACATATATGTCTGATTTCCCACAAACTGGAAGATATGCAAGCGAAAAGCAACAAGTTGGTAGAAGAAGCATCAAAGATAGGACTTCAGGTGAACATAGAGAAAACAGAGGTGATGAAGATTCCTGGACAAGAACAACAACAGACAACGATCAGCATAAATGGGAGGAACCTGAAAGAAACAACCTCCTTCACCTACCGACCTGGGAAGCATCGTTTCAACTACAGGCGGCGGAACTGACGAGGATATCAAAGCAAGAATCGGAAAAGCAAGACAAGCTTTCACTACTCTCAAGTCTGTGTGGAGATCAACAGCACTCAGCATCAAAACGAAGATAAGATCCGGATTTTCAACTCCAATGTGAAGTCAGTCAGCGCTACTATACGGATCAGAGACTTGCACTGCGCGTCATTAAGAGCATCTCCAACAAACTACAGACCTTCATTAACAGTTGTCTTCGCTCAATACTCAAGATCAGATGGCCGGCCAGAAAAGATCAGCAACAGGGATCTCTGGGATAGAACCAACCCAGCAGGAACCGATTGTGAAACAAATAGGCAGGAAGAAATGGAGATGGATTGGCCATACTCTGGGGAAACCATCAAGTGACATCACTAGACAAGCCATTGCTCGAGTGGAACCCGAAAGGGAAGCGGCGAGTTGGTCGTCAGTGCAAGAGTGACTTGGAGGAGGTCATGTGAAGAGGAGATGAAAGCGTGTGGGCAGACTTGGAGCCAGGTGAAGACTCTAGCAGAGAACCGAACGCAATGGAGACGCACGGCTGAAGCCCTATGTTCCTCTAGGAATTAAAGGAAACAATAATAAATAATAATTATAAATATGTGAATAGTGACTGAGCAATTTTTAGTATGATATAAGTATGACTGTACAGTTTGAAGATAACCAACCAACAGAAACAACAACAATAACAACCAGCATCAATCACCATCAACAGGAGAGATTTAACAGAGGTTACTTCCTTCACTTATCTGGCTAGGAAGCACGGTTTCAACCATAGGCGAGCGGGACAGATGGAGATGTCAAAGCCAGCCAGCCAGCCAAAATCGGAAAGGCAAGATACACCTTCATCAACCTGAAACCAATTTGGAAATCTTCTGCTTCACTCCACAGTATAAACAACAAGATTCAGATTCTATTCAACACAAATGTGAAGTCAGTCAGTCAGTTCTTCTATACTGGTCAGAAACTTGCACTGTGTGTCACAAAAAGGATTTCCCAGAGGTCACAGACTTCTTTTATCAACAGCTGCCTTCGCTAGTTCCATACTGAAGATCAAATAGCCAGCCAGAAAGAATTAGCAACAAGAAACTCTGGTGGTGAACAAGGCAACCAAGAGCCGATCGCTCAACAAATATGTAGGAGAAAATGGAGATGAAGTGGGCATACGTTGAGGAAACCATCGAATGACATCGCGCGCCAGACATAACCTCGAGTGGAATCCGAATGGGAAGCGACGAGTAGGTCGTCAGTGCGAGGGTGACATGGAGCAGATCGTGTGGGGAGGAGATCAGAGATTATGGGTAATCGTGAAGCCAGCTGAAGAATACGGTAGAAAACAGAAGGAAGTGGAGATGTGTTGTTGAAGCCCTATGTTCCACTCGGAACCCAAGGTAATAATAATGATAATATAGTTTGAAGATGAAGTCGATGAAAAGAAATATATTTCTTCGCTGGACGAAACTGTGTTTTTCATTTTGAAAATGAGGAGAGACAGAATAATCAAGTGAAGACTGTCAGAGATGATTTAGAACGAGTCACTAAAAGAAAAGCTATACAATGTGAGTAGCTACAAAGGAATTGATTATTCACGAGTGTTTGCTAGCCAAATTGTGGTTATTTCTAAAACCTGAAGAACGATCCTTCATAGTCAGCGTCCAGTTAATCCATGATGGAGTACAGTGCATTCATATTCGCGAAGAACGAAAATAAGCGCTTCCAAAAACTCAAGATATACATTAATAAAATAAGTTTCAGGATAAGTCATGAATTAATCTTTTGATAATGTAAATAAACAAAATATACATACCTCTAAACCGACAAGTGATTCACGATGTTGTACATAACCCCATGGTGCTATACCGAGTGCAACAATATTAGAACCACGTATGTGTACTTCATCTTTCAATGCCTCACCAATATGTCGAGTTACACCTGTTATAAATAGGTAACAAAGCGGAAACAGATAATATACAATATAAAACGTTATCCGTTGAGTATACAACAATAGAACATGCTAATTATCACTGAAATAAATTTTGAAATAATTCTACTTTGAATTCTGTGTAATATTGTGATAAAGTAACGGCGAATACTTTTTCCACTCCTTTGTCTGTCTATCTGTCTGTTTTTGACATAGAACTTTGCACATATGTGCGGCAGTTCAAGTCGCCACACTCCCTACTTGTAGCACACAAAGCAAGAGAAGAAAGTAGGAGAAATGCATAATATAAACAGTAAACAGAGGTGTAAGACAAAGGTATAGTAATAACGAAGAACAAAACAGTTTCACTGGAAATCATGAGTCACAAGGAGTGGATGCATCTGCACCATCCATTGAGAACGATTTTGAGCCATGTCACCAATTGTTTCCAACCATTAGTTTTTACCGTCCCGAGGACCCCAACCAGGTAGTCTACACCTTCCTACGTGGCTTAGACTAACTGTTGTAGATTTCATTGACTGGTGCCATGTTTTGGTTTGACCGTCGCTAGCTCTTTTCCAGCCTGACCCTATATCAGCTAACATTGCCCGTCGAGGAAGGCGATGACTAGGCATACGTAACACATGTCCTAACCATCTCAGTCGATGTAATTTCACAGTCTCGTCGACTGATTTCCCCGCCTTACCTAGCACTCGACCGATGGCCTAACCTCAGTATTGCTCACCTTATTATACCACTTCACACGGGAGATAGAGCGCAGGCACCTATGATCAAAGACAGCTAGTCTTTTCATGTCTTCCACTTTCAATGGCCAGGTCCCACAACCATAAAGGACTCCTTTACTCTCCAAGTGGAACGTAGGACTTTAAGATTTTGAAGCTTCAGTAGTGATGGTGTTGTTTTTCACACGGTGGATTTGCTGGACCTACATTCAACCTCACCTATTTTCCGGACTTATTGTCAACTATAAAATTAGTTAGTTAAGGTTAAGAACTGTGTCAATCTGAAATCCAAACTGAACTTCTTATGTAGCTAGACAGCTTTCTGTCAGTGAACCACTGACGTAAAGCGAATATTCTGCATGATCTAATTATCATACCATCGGAAATAAGAAATCTTGTTGAATGCTGAATGACTTGTGTACAACTATCAGAAATAAACAGACTTCAGAGAAACAACCACAGTCAGAAGAACTCATAAATCGCTTATGATAAAAGTTCATCTTGAACAGAATATTAAACTCTTTCTCTGGCATCCATCATTTGCATTTCTTCTCATCATATTCATCTTCTTGCCTTCTATAATGTTCACTGATCTTCTGTATTCTGCTTGACAGAATCTTCAGTAGTCGATCATGTAACTAACGCTAGCATCTGACTGCATAACTAAGGGAATACATATTTGTATCACTGGCAGACAGCATGTTATCATACAAATAATACTTACAGTCAATAGCCTCAGAAATACGTACCTTTTTTGTTATTTAAGAAATGAATTGTGCGAACCATGACTCTGTGAAAGTAAGATTTGTCAGCTAATTTTGCTTCGAATTAACTTAAATCATTACGTAATAACGACGACGGTAAGAGATTAGTAATGCATTGTATCAACAGCTAAATATAAAAGTGCTACCAGACACAATCAACCTGATACTTATTTCTTTGGTGTAAAAGTGTACTACAACTCGTGATCAAAAAATCACTAACAAAGATGGTACACTTCACATCCTCAGCGGACACACGTTGATGTCGCGCGCCAGACCCTCGAGTGAAACCTGAATGCATAACTACAAGCTGGGCACTGGTCCGAGGGTAACATGGAGGAGATCGTGTGGGGGGTAGATCAAAGCTAACTGTCAATCGTGGAGTCAGCTGAAGACTACTGCAGAAAACGGGATGAAATGAAGACGTGTGGTGTTGAATCCTAATGTTCCACTCGGAACACAAAGAAATAATACTAATATGATAATTTCAAGTGTAAAGGTGTTATGTATGAATATTATGACCTTGTAGACTACGAGCGAATCTAACTTAATGCGCTGGCCAATCTGTCCTAATCGCACGTCAATAACAACAACAGCAACAATACCACCGGGCATGCAGGACAAAGAAAGAAGACTGGACGTTCATACGAGGGCTTTTACTGTCTCTACAACAGTCGAAAGTGTTAAACAAAACTCCGTATTTATACAGTTAGGAAAATCAATGCCACATTTAAAAAATATTAACAACCAATGGGAATTCAGTAAATTCAATCATGCAGGTGTGAAAAATGACTAATCATGCAGGTGCGAAAAATCAATATTGATGAGTCACCAGTGTATATATCAAAAGGAAAGGGCGTTCAGCGAAGAGTTACTCTCTTCAGCGATATCATTCTCAAGCTTTACAATCGCATATGCATATAGAGAGTAAATTTTCTCAGCAACAGAATTAATATTTCAAAGATTTATCATTAGAATTGTAAATTTTAGATAATAAATTTCGTTAATTGGTTAGAAACTAAAGGAAGATTAAATAAGCAAGTTGGTTGACGCCATCAACATTAGATAATTTTTTATCTAAAATTTACAATTCTAATGACAAATCTTTGAAATATTCATTTTGTCGCCGAGAAAATTTACTCTCTATATGTATATGCGATTGTACAGCTTGAGAATGATATCGCCGAAAAGAGTAACTCTTCGCTGAACGCCTTTTCTTCTTTAAATGACTCAACGGGAATTTTTAAATTTTAAATGTGTAAATCATCCCTGGAAAGTTCTTGCCAACCAACATCTTACAGGCTACATGCTAAATAATGCACATTTCTATGTGTTTATGACATGACAATTGAATGCATCACATTTCTAGCATTTCAGCTGAGACTGAAACCCGGTGACCTCTCTTGGTAAACTGTCATTCACTAGGTTAGTGAAATATGAAGGCTCTTTGATATAAGAATAGAACTTTGGCACTCTGATTGGACACTAGTAACTAGCGTGACGTGTCTAGTCTTTTCTTTGGTGCCCGAATAGCTCAGTGGTAACGTCTCTGACTGACTACAGTACTGAGTGACACAGGTTCGAATCTCAGAATGGACATGAGTTCCTTCAAGGTTGCCGATACTCCTTGCTGAGTGGTGAGTGCCAACTAGCACAAAACCTAGGTCAAGCAAGGCTTCCTGCCAGTCGCCTCCGAATATCTAATATCATCAAAAGTATAATTCTGTCATAGAATAGATTTATTTGAAGGAAACATACAGTGGTACAGTATTATTTAGTGATCAAAATATAATACCGTAAAACTATATTCTCTTATGAAGCGAATTTATTCTAGAATGGAATAAAGGCTCTTTCGTCTTCATTTATACGAATGATTTCTCGTGTAATAACATAGACGAATCATTTCAGTCTAGTTATATCAGCAAAAGGGAACTGTTAGTACAAGTAAAAATAATTCTAGATGATGTGTAATATTTGTTTCTGTCTTAGTCAAGGATGAATTTTCTTGTAATGGGGAACATTGTTATGAGTTAAATAAGACTTCATGGAAAATACCCATCGGGACATTAGAGGAAAAAGAACAAGAAGTTCAGCAAAGATGGCGATCTTTTCGGCGATTTCATTTTCAAAAGCTGTACAATCGCATTTATATACATTAGTTTACATGGATTCCATATTGTAACGAAGGAGATAATACTTTTCAACTTGATGTGAAAGCTTGAAGGTACGAATATAGATTACAAGTTACGCAGGGATAGAACTTTTGTTTCTAAGCCTCTTGCAATTCATATCAAGTTGAAAATAATTATCACCTTTTATTCGCCTTTAATTTTGCATACGTTGTAACTGTTTTCCAAGCCTATGTAATCTTGTCTTTAAGCCCCTTGTAATCTGTACTTCATGCCTTAAAACTTTCATATCAAGTTGTAAAGTATTATCTCCTTCGTTACTATGTGGAATCCATGTAAACTAATGTATATAAATGCAATTGTACAGCTTTTGAGAATGAAATCGCCGAAAAGATCACCATCTTCGCTGAACTTCTTGTTCTTTTACCTTTAAATAAGACTTAACTCACTAACTTAGGCAATCATCTTTTAGACTTAAACCTGGCCACTTAGCTAATATCATCAGTCTTCACATAACACAGTTCTCATATCATCGCTGTCGGAAGTGTATCGATAAATCTTGTTATCTGATTTTTTTCTTTTCTATTCGTTCGAGTTCCGAGTGGAACATAAGGCTACCAGCTTGAGTTGTGAAGTTTCAATAGTAGGGTTTTGTTTCAGGAGTATGGTTACTAGTCTCATACTCAACCCTTCCTCTTTACCAGGCTTACTATTGGCTAAATATGGTTTAGAAGCAAGCCCCCGATGCCTGGCTGGAATCAAACCTGAACTGCTTGCTTAGCTAGTGATCATTATACCATTGAAACACAAACGCACAATATAGTTACTAAGAGAAATGAACTTCTCAGGGTGCTAGATTTTGGGATGCGATCAGCAGTATGTCTGAAATAGTTATATATGACACAAGTTCAAATACTTGAAGCAATAGTTCTATGCAAGGTAATTGTCAGTATTCACCAAAAGCAAGTTCAAAGAGTTGATTCTCTGCTACGCTCTAATAGAATTATGAGTACTGTTGATGTGGACAAACATTGTTGAGAGACACAGTTATTTCCAAATCTTACTTTGGCAAGAAGAATTTACAGCATGATACAGTGTGACCGAGTATATAACAAACAACCTTTGGAAAACAGTACATACTACTGATTTATATGAGTAGTAAGCCCTACTGGTTAACACAGGCGGCTTCCAGCCATTTATACCAATCAGTAGTATATTCTGTCATGCTACTTTGCTAGCATTCCTGATTACTATTCATTGTATTATGTAGGTGGAATATTTTGGGATGCTCAAAGAAAACCTTGATGAATATTCACCTTAAACTATATGTACTATATACATAATTTTAAATAACGTGTCGTATTCCAGGGTAAGCGAG